GAATTAATTTCTGTTAAATATCTCTACTTGCGAAACATATTTTTTCATATGTGACATAAATACTTACACTCATAGTTAATAATAATACAATATTACAAATATTTTATTAAATGATTTTAATAATATAATATCTGTTTGTTGTTTTTTGTGATTAAATTCTCGAAGTGGTAACAAAAAAATTTGGTGAAAACGGCATCAAAATATCAAGTGAAAAACTGATAGTAAAATATAAACGTATTTCTTTTAATATTTTTATAGTTAATTTATAAGAAACGACCTATAATGTCTATTTTTAACTTTAACTATTAATTTAAATTAACGTCGACTACAACACAAGGATACTATACAAGGCAGCAGGAAGCCATAAATTACTTTCCTTACCTTTTTCTTAACAAAACAGAAGAAGTAGGTCTCTCTTATATAGTCCCATTAAATCTATAATAGTAAGATTTTTTTTGTTTTTCACTCATTACTTAGTACTATTACATAGTACTAAGCATTTATACCCGATAACAAATAAAACCACATATATTTAAACTTCAAATGTCAAAATTCATTATTTATATATAAATATAAATAAAACCAAGCATATTTTAAGTTAAGCGCATTTTCCTTTAACAATATTTTCAACTATAAATAGTCATTGAAATATTTTAATTAAATTGTTTCTTATGTACCATAGACCTAGTAACAGTGATAACCCTAATAATTTCTATTATTTTCACTCTAATTAACATTAAAACTAATGTTTGCTACAACACAATGAAATTGATGAAATTTGAATATATATTACTATAAACTGAAACGTTTAATCATAAACAAAAATATGTACAAAGACGAAGGAAAACCAATATCTGAATAATGAATGTTATTAAACTATAAAAAAAAATAGTTTTGATATTTATTTCATTTAATTGCTAAATATAAATTAAAATATTTACCAACAAAAAATATAATTTGTTCAGTTGAATGGAAACTGTAAACAGGTCATGAATCAATTTATTTTGCCACAGAGTCTGGAAGTTAAAGTGAGAAAGAAGCTTTTGTCTGGAATATTGGACTGCATTTCCTTTTGAAGATCTTATAAAGCGACACAAATACATAGGAACTGCTGTTTTTACTAACAAAATAACAACCTACTATTTGAGTTCAAATTTAGTGTGTTACAAATTAAGTAGATATTGCATTAAAGCATTTTTAAAGTTATTACTCGTTGCCGAAATCGTATAAATTCTTCATAAAATACACATCATTTTTGCCACGTTAAATACAAGGTGCGACATAATTTTCGTACAGGAATGTTCCATGGAAGCTACGATTTGTGGTTTGTTAAAATTTAAACCTATAGGTAGGTATTTCAAATCAAAAATCAAAGTAAATGATAATAATATATAATTTACAAGTAAACAGATGTCATCATATAAACTGCTTACTCGTTAGGAACATAAGTTACACAAAAATCTCGCTATGAATTTATAACTTCATAATTAATTATATAATTTCTTTGTTTCGGAGACTTAAACTTATTAACTAGATAATAAACTTTTCATTTCATTATCCGATTATCCCTTTATTTGATTATGTAAAATATAAAATCATAATACAGTAAAAAATATTTAAGAAAGTCTCCGTAACGTGTTGTTAAAAAATTAATTAAATTCCTTGTCATTCAAATAACAACGGGACAATGTTCGTGAATTGAATGAATGAAAAAAGAGTAAACCGATTTTAAATTATGTTGTAATAAATATTTTCTAAAGTTATAAAAAAATATGTAATGTTTGATACTGAAGTTCACAATATTTTACTTTGGCATATTAATAAATAATTAATAAGAGCACAATAGAAAACAGTAATATAGAATTATGCATCTTGTCTATAGTAGGCTTCTCGAAATTTTATTTTACATGCCAGCAATATAACAAGTATGTATAGTTTGAGTGACTGTTTAAAGTTAACTTAAACCTGAAGAAAATGTTTTATTTGTATACTATAAGATAGTTATCAAATGTAGCTACATTTGATAAGCTTTTTTTATGTATATATTTTAAAAAAAGCTTTTTTTTATGTTAAAGGGGGCAACCGAGTTGACGGCCTACCTGATGGAGGTAGTACTGTCGCCTATAGACATCCGCGATATAAGACATGTTGTGGATGTGTCACCACCCTTGATTTGGGAAGAGAGGGAGGCAAAATAGGAAGGGGAGGAAAAGGGAAGGGGTAGGAAAGGATGGGAAAAGGGAAAGGGCAACCGGCTCTCTCACTCATCGAACGAAACGCAGCCACTAAGGCTACTTTACGCCGATCTTCTGTGAGAGGGTGGTACCTCCCCGGTCGAGCCAGCCCAAGTTCGAGCTGAAATCACTTGACCACAGCTAGGCTCTACCACCTTAAAGCTTTTTAGCTTGTAATATTTTTTATATGAAAAATTGTTTTTGTACAAGAGTAATTAATCCCCAATTGAAAAATGATCTATTTTCTATCAAATAAATCCGAGTAAGTGATAACCTTCTTATTAAAATAAAACCAGTTCAGAAAGATAACTTTTTCGGAAGTGAACACCATGTTAACTCATGAGAAAATTCTGATTTTAATTTACATATATATAATATATGCTATATGTGCGTGTGTTTTACACTTTTTAACTATCTTTCTAACGAGAAAGAAATCTTTTAATAAAAATTATCCTCAACTGAAAATATATATTTATTATCATAAAGAGATTCGTGTCATTGGAATAATAACAAACAATTCACTTTTTATTATAAGCATTCAAAGTACTAACTTTACAGTACGGTGTACAGACATCTATCGTAGTATCTTGACGAAGCCTGCATCCGTTACCTCTTCCGACGTGACGAGACATGTTTGATGAGTGACCGTTAAATCGAAGTAGTTACATTTCTTATATACATTCATTTCTTTTTGCTTTTGACTGAGTTAAACGTACATATGACGTTTTATATGGTAATCAAGAAGTATTTTATTTGTTCTTAAACATTGAATCATTTAAATAATAATATTATTTGTTATTAACTTTACAAGGTAGACCCTCATTACGAATGTCAAGGGATAAAGGACTTAAATTCGATATTAAGTGTTCTTTTTATGTGAAGTGAGCTTGGAAAAATAACTTAATATCAATTATTACGATCAGTACTTTTTATTACTTTTAAAAGTTGTGTATACCATTCAGAAAAGAATATATAATGCTGTCTAATATTTTTTGCTAAACAATAAGGATTTTCTTAAGTATTTCGTGCATATGTTTTCATGTTGTCAGACCATCTTCCTTAAGCAATTGTAAAAAGATATGTCTTTGGCAGCATAAAGTGCTTGTTGTTGTCTGAGAGATTTTGTAACTCAAAGGTTTAATATACTCAGTGACATTTTTACTTAGAAATTATTTAATCCTTTTGTAAATATTTACGGGCCTCTTATTATGGACTTTTCCTTACTTACAAATAGAGCTTACAAATGTATGCATTTTGAGATAAAAAAATTCATGTAATTGTGTCAAATAGGGAGATTTTCTTATAATCGCAATGTTGTTTTGCAGTTTTCATTTTTATTGAACGGTCTGCGTCGTCAAAAGAGAATTTATAAATTAGTATAACTTGTACTGAAACAATATACCTTGTTACTCTCACGTCAAAAGTTTGGTAATCACTCGCTTGGTATTTTCACACGTCGTTACCGACATCTCGACGAGTTTAATGCTTTAATATCTCAATGTATAATGGTGTAGTCATGCTCATTAAGCATGTGACCTTTTATGTGACCTTTAATCACTAGAATTACATTAAGTTATACTGCTATGGTTTAATTATACGGTTTTAACTAATTTAGGTCTATTTTGTACGATTTCAGTTACTGTTTCACTGAAAAAGAATAAGTAAAACGTTTTATTTTTTATGTAATTTTCTGTTAGTCATAGAATGATTATTATTAAACAAAACTAAATTGACGTAACAAAAAGATTACACTTTTTTATTTGTTTCTATTATTAAGTATTGGCAAAAAACTAACCTATTGATGTAATAAATTCTACTCTTAAATCTCTTAAAATAGTTCCGAGTACAAATATTTAAATTTTGAAATAAAATTATAAATACATACATAATGAACATGTTACAAAGTTTGTGAGTAATGAAAGCAAGTATTTTAACTACGTTGAAAAGCTGATGAAAATAATTAATACACATTTTAACTAAAACAACCGATTAAAATATATTTTGGGTATACTATAACGACAACAAATTATATACTATGCCATGAATTTTTCCTTTTCAAACTACTCTTTATACTACTGTTTCTCTTGACCTCGACCGCAGTAAGTTTTGTTTTAATGTGTACCCCATGTGATTTCCTATCGGCAGTATTTCAGCAACTATCCCACTAAACCTTTTATCCCTATTTAACTTCCTTAGTTTTTTCATAAATCCGCATGAGTTTCCCATGTAGCGTGATATCAAAGATATGTTTTATCTGATTTTAGAAAATTATGTATCAGAAATGTTGGGTGGCCAAACATTAAATACATACATACTATATAAAATGCGCTAAGTGTTGACCTGTTGAATGTTGATATAAAACTTCTTCAATCGTATAAATAATAATAATTCAATAATACTATATTGATGTTTTAGGAAATTGCTTTGAAAAATTTATTTAGTTGTAATTTAACTTAAAGCCACTTTAAAAGATTTTATGAAAACATTTTAAGAAGGACAATTACAGTAGTCAATGCAAGGTGAATAATAAATAAATTGTTTAATTAAGTACTTGGGATATGAAAGGTATAAATAACTCAAACAACATCTTATTTGTATTAACATACTGCTGATTACGTAATATGTCTGTTTTAATATTCGGTATATGTTTTGTGACTCTTGTACCGATATTTCACTCTGTCCAATTTACGTCGCAGTCGCTGCCAAGTAATTAATTCGAAACACCTGTTTGTTCAAAAGAAATACAACTTTGTAAGTGGCTTCGTTATGGTAGTTTACAGTGGCGTGAATGTGTGGGTGGGTAAGTATAAGCTGTTTTTTTATAGTACATTGATCACGATATTTTATAAATCCTTTACTTAACCTCATTTATATCAATCGTTATTGCACAAATTGTTCGTATTACAGTCAAAATGGAAAAAATATAAATTTCAAATATCAAAGAGGACTTGTTAAAAAAATTTATTTTAAAAACTAAGATTCCACTTTTTTAAAAACATTTTTATTACCTTTAAATAAGTGCTAAGATTTAGTATAACATTAGATTTCAATAATAAGTAAGATTCTTTAGAGTCATTATAAATGCTTAATGAGCATCGAGAGTATGAAAAATTTAATACAAAGTAATAATAACTTTAAGGCCTCGGTCTCGAATACAGTGGGCACCGCTGTATTCGAGGGTCGGTCCATTTGATTATACGCGTAAGATCCTGCCGCTCCCGCTGCCGCTCCCGCTGCCGCTCCCGCTGCCGCTCCCGCTGCCGCTCCCGCTGCCGCTCCCGCTGCCGCTCCCGCTGCCGCTCCCGCTGCCGCTCCCGCTGCCGCTCCCGCTGCCGCTCCCGCTGCCGCTCCCGCTGCCGCTCCCGCTGCCGCTCCCGCTGCCGCTCCCGCTGCCGCTCCCGCTGCCGCTCCCGCTGCCGCTGCCGCTCCCGCTGCCGCTCCCGCTGCCGCTGCCGCTCCCGCTTCCGCTCCCGCTGCCGCTGCCGCTCGCGCTGCCGCTGCCGCTCCCGCTGCCGCTCCCGCTGCCGCTCCCGCTGCCGCTCCCGCTGCCGCTCCCGCCGCCGCTGCCGCTGCCGCTGCCGCTCCCGCTGCCGCACCCGCTGCCGCTCCCGCTGCCGCTCCCGCTGCCGCTCCCGCTTCCGCTCCCGCTGCCGCTGCCGCTCGCGCTGCCGCTGCCGCTCGCGCTGCCGCTGCTGCGCTCGCGCTGCCGCTGCCGCTCCCGCTGCCGCTCCCGCTGCCGCTGCCGCTGCCGCTGCCGCTGCCGCTGCCGCTGCCGCTGCCGCTGCCGCTGCCGCTGCCGCTCCCGCTGCCGCTCCCGCTGCCGCTCCCGCTGCAGCACCCGCTGCAAGAAATGTAGTCTTATGTATAGTTTATGATCTTTAGTTATTAAATTTTTAATATAATATACGTCTCTAGTAGGTTCCGTAGTTGTCCTATAAGTTATGATTTGTCCCTTATAATTTATTACTAAGCGGATCTATTGTGTAAATTAAAAAAAGCGAATGTAAAATTCGTTTAAAAGCCTAATTTTTTTAGTAATTTTACCATTTTTTATTTTTATCAAAGAAATAATATTGCAGTGAAATACTTTTTTTCTCTATTTTATTGAGATCGGTTTTAGTTCAGAGAGTGCAATTGAAAAAAAATGTATAAAAACAGAAGAATATATGCATTTGCGATGCATTTCATGATTTTAAGACTAAAATATAAACTTGGCAAGTATAATAAAGACATACACATATAAATGTTTCAATTTAAATAAATAGACGAAAGGAGACAACATTTGCTTGGACTAGTCAATGTAACAATGAGTGACCCTTTATAACAATGGGGTGTATAAATTACACATTTATTTATTTCTCTTTGTGTTAAAAATAAATTAAACTTTATTATATCCTTGGATAGTTTATATTTAAAGAGCGTTTTCTTTTTCATTTAAACTATAACTGCATAATTAACATATTATACAAGGTTCAACAGAATTTCATTATGAATGTTGGCATGGTGTGTACATCGGTGAACGTAAAAGAAAAATGGCCTTAGTCCAAATGAGAAGAGAGAGACGGATTTAGAGAGTTATTTTTTTTTTTGCGAGATGTTAGAATATTTGCAACAAATAATATTTTAGACAAAACCGACTGTTACATTTTTTATAAAAGAATATGTTGTCAAAAAAAACCTTAAATTTTTGAAACAAAAAAAATCTTTCCAATTTGAATTCATCTCTCTTACTATCCATTTTTTCTTTAAAGAGTGCAAATAGGTAGGGATTGTAGTTATTTTACAATTGACTATATTTAAATTTTGTGTGTAATGCCAACAAATTAATAGCTTATTGCTGTTATGAACAATTGTTACTAGCAGGAATATTATAATGTAATTAAATATGGTTTCAATTAGTAATAATATAAGTAAAAAATATATACAAATTTAAGAATGTAAATAAAAAACTGCATAAGAATGTTCTACACTACGTTATAGATGTGACAAAGTCGGGAAAATTACCAAAACATAATTATATTTTGTTTGAAATAGTTCTTGTTGGAAACTTTAAAGAGTATCTTTTCATTTCAAAGTGGTTTAAAATAACTTGTTCCATATAAATAGATACTATGATTATAATTATGACACGTAAAAAACAGATGACACGATAAAAACAATGGCATGGCAACTATTTAGCAACAATATGTTTTTTAATATCTAGATGCTGAGGAATAAATAGTATCAAGGCTTGCAAACAAAACACCATGGTCATTCACAATATCATTTTCGTGATACAGTCATCAAATGAGAGTATTCATTTGTCTTTACTTAATAGAGGAAAATATTTTTTAATAGTTTTACAGTCAGTTTTTTTTCAGACAGTCAGTGGTGGCCTAGTAGTTAAGGGGCCCGCCTCTCGTTGCGGAGGGCGCGGGTTCAGACCTTGGCAAGTACCAATGTGATTTTTCGGAGTCATATGTACTTTCTGAGTGTATTTAGACATCACTGACATACGGTGAAGGAAAACATCGTGAGGAAACCTGGACTTATAGTTTCACAATTATAAGTTTGAAATCACCAACCCGTCTTGAGCAAGCGTGGTGATTAATGCTCAATCCTTCTCCATGTGAGAAAGAGGCCTTGCTCAGCAGTGGGCTTCTAATAGGCTGATAGGCATTGTTCAGATAATTTTAAAAAAAGATAATATTACCTAACAAAGTACCTAATTATGTTTTGAAATTACTAAAGTATAAAATATTGCTTTACAAGAAGTCAGTGGTGGTGGTTAAAAGGCCCGCCTCTCATACACGAGGGCGCGGGTGCGATCCTGGTCCTGGCAAAAAGACAGAAAAGACTAAAGGTAAACAAATAAAATGTATTCATAAAGGTCAAAAGAATGTTTAAAGCGGTTTCATGTAACACATATCGTGAACAAAATTAAAAATAAATATATTAGACAATTTTTTTTTTATTTTAGTATTTTCTTTGTCATTCTCATTTAATTTATATAAAAATAAATAAGGAACACTTTAAATATATACAATAAAAACATAATATACCATTAAATTAATATCATATGTATAAAATAAATACTGAATAGTTAATTACCCTATAAATATACTTGTTATTTATATGACCACCTCCCTCTTTCTACAACTTTAGACAAGTCCGCAAAGTTGACAAAATTCTAATTAATTATTTAGGAACTTTTTTAGTAGATTCAGTTGAGCCTAGGACTAACTCTAATTGGTACGAGTTTATAAACTTTGATATTAAAAATATTGTTAGGTTTATCAATATTTAAGTCTATCCGTTCTTGTATATGTATATTATAAATATAACTACATAATCATTCATTTCATTGGTCCATAAAGGCGAGATCATCAATATTATATCGATTTTTTCAGTATTACTACGAAAAATAAAATTGTATTAAAATAATTGTCGTCAATTCAAACTATTATTCCCTGTAACCAGACAATGCCTACTCAAAAGCAATTGTTTTCAAATTAAATATTATGAATTGAAATTTAACAACTAGAATAACTCTCACTTAAATAATACATATATTCATTATTAATAGTAAGTTACCTACAAAATAAATTTTCATGACAAAAGAATTTAAAAGTCATTACATATATTTCTATTATATATTCGAATATTTTGAAAATTCATACCAATTAAGTTGGCTCTTATAATTCGAAATATATACACGTATATAATTTTTTTCTTTAGGCCCTTAAAAGATTTATAAAGAAATTAATGAAAGCTAACCAGACCGTCCAACGACGACACTATTGTTAAGTAATCCCTCTTTCTTAATTTATTTAGCCATGAAATAAGGTGGTAAAAAATTTAATATCAAAAGTTTAAATTAAAATGAACTCAAGTAAATATCTCTTTTTTAAAGCGACAGTCCAAAGTTTGTAGAAATTGTATAACTTTTATGTTCCAAAAATATAAAAAGTGTAAATGGTCCTACTGGTCAGTAACCTTTAAAGTAAAGGCTGTGTCTGATGTATCTGATTTATCGCTTATTTTATGAGTACTATTTTACAGTAATGTAGCTGTCTAAAGTGTTTTTTTTGTACCTTATGTCTGGGTGTGTGGCTAATCTCTTAAGTCTTAAACTAAAAGCGAACGCCATATAGACTAATATTATTTATAAAAGGCAAAGATATTTAGAATTCTGTAAATGGAAAAACATTTTTGTTAATACTTTTTTTTCTGATTTTTAATTTATTTATCAAACATCTGGTATACCTGATGTTCGTGGTCATTATCAAAACATCATTGATTATTATTTCTATTTATTGAATTATTTTGCAAAAAAATTATAATTTACTAAATAAATATATCAATTTATTTCTTATTGTATATTTATATATGCGGTAGAAAATGAAATTATTAAATGTTGGATAAAATTGACTACCGTGTGTATCCAGATGGCTAGCTTCTGTTCAATCTATGTTGTCCGGCGATATGGAAAACGATCATGTACAGAAATTCTAGCAGAATGTTATTCTGTGCACGTTCAGTGTATATCGTATAAATTTTAAGTACATTTAAGCTATGAACATAACTAAGATTGGACTGTACTTGACAGATTTCACTTGTCATATTTGTTCAGGGTCAAAAAAAAAAATACTTGGATGTTCTCTGATATTTAAGTAAGACAAGAACATATGCAAAATATATAAGCACTGTCCTATTAAAGAAATGTAAAAAAAAGATAAAGAAATACACTTTATCTGTATTATAAATGTGTTCATTTAAAAAACGAGTATTGATTATATTTTCACTAACTTTAATATCATTCTGTAGTTTGTATATTATAGTTATTAAAATTATAGTTTATATTATTAGACATGGATTAAGTATAAGTAGACGAGACATATCATGTTTAAATAAAGTTGAAATATGTACTGAATCAATAAAGATATATCCAAGTTTTTTTTATAAACTGCTTGATATGTAGTTTTAAAATAATAAAGTAAGGGTTAGTAATATGAAAATATTATTACTTAATTTAAATGAATACTCGCGAAAGTCTTAGGATCTCATCAGATCTCAACTTGCTGATATTTTAAATTATGTATTTTGGAAGACGTTTCTCATATGTATTCATTGTTAAAGGATTTATGCAACGCTTCGCTTAAATTGTATTGAAGGAAATTACCTCCAGGGCTTTTGTATGCTACGAGTATATGTGGTTTTAAGTGTTTATCAATTTTTTTGTTGAATAAAATTAATCATTACTGATTAACTTTACATTGCATTGTGGAGGATAATTGTATTTGTATAGTTTTATAAATATGTGATTTTTTTTATGGCTTTTATTATTCAAGTCTTTACAAAAGTACAAAATTTAAGACAGGAACTATCGTATCAAATGTAAGAAGGTCAAAGTTCGAACACATTGCGGGAACACTTTATTGTCTCCGAAGTTTATATCTATTGTTGCTTCGTATAGATTTATAGAGATTGAATACTTATATCTTTATATACATAATCTTTTATTATTTAAAAACTTTCTCCTAGAGTAATATGGAATAGAAAATAATTAACAAATTGTTTTCAGAATACAGAAATTGTCTATAGACAATTCGATTAATTCACCTATAATTTGGTTCCCAACATAAGTGTAAATGCTTAACAAAAGAGAACTCAAAATGAGCCGGTGTGATAGATCTTTTCTGGCAATTAAGCTGGATGATAAATATAATGGATTTGTTCAGGAGAGCTCTATTATCGTCGTAGATGTTTGGAACACTTTTTATAAGCGGCCAAATGACTACTTGAACATAACATACATTTGCTATCTGTTTGATCATTAAATATATATCCTGTTTGTTTAAAGCATCTTAGATTTTA